TTAGGAACCGTGGACGCTATGAAAATAGTTGTCACGTGGGCTTTCTCAGCCGACTATTGAGACTTGACACCTATGTAAAACACCTGAAACAATCCAAGCGATCAGTTGAGGCGTATCCTGCTCGCGGCTGTACATACAGATGCTGTCGGAACACCAGGCTAACTAACAGTAAAGATGTAAACATATACTGAACAACAAAAGTTCCCGTGACATTGAATAAGATTTAATGCAAAGTTATGTTTTTTACCAAATCTGAAACAATTTCGGTTTGCAACAGATAAAAGACTCCTGTAACTTGTTCATACAAGCCACTTTCACCCGCTACGTATATTCAGTAATGATTCAACAGTGGACTCACTCTTGTGGCGTCAATACCCATGCTTATTCCTCCCTCGTTCCATACTGTGATACACATTATCCTAACAGTGTTCCCTACCACACTTTTCTGTCACCTAATCACACAACAAATTATTAAATACAGTGTCATTCATGCGTACCCGCGAGTTCGACGTCTGACGCTTGGAACCGTTTTCAGTTCGCGCCACATCGGCTCATTCCTCACCATCGGCATCGGGATCACTCGTAAGCGTCCGTAGACTAAAGTCGCGACATTCCATTCGTCACCACTCACCCCTTTCCTCGACGTGCAAGAGGACCCGCCCCCCTATAGATGAATGTTATGTGCGAAAATACAACAAACCAATCAGAATATGCGTATGGCTTAAAATTCTTCGATCAAAGAATCCCTCAGGAATAATTTTTGACTTTATATATGTCTTGCATCTAAAAATATAACCAAGATAAAGTTAAAAGTTATAATTGTATAATACCGCATGTCCCGATGTGAATATTTATTTTCATTCACTCATTTTAGATTCAAGCTGAGTTCAAGCCCGTGTAGCGCCGTAATTTCCGGCCACCCTTTTCTTGTTTACCTCGGCCTCGAAGCTTAGGGTTGAGATTTGATGGGTTTTTAAAAATAAATACGAGGTAAGATGACCAGATTAACACGATTGTGTAGCCTATGGTTTGTTTAGCGTGCCAATAGGTTGAAACAAGTGACATTCATATTCCATGCGATATCGAGCTGTGATTCGAACCGAGTGCGAAATATTGAATAAGGATCAAGACGGCGGGTGTCATTCCTTGTCTGTATGTATATAGAGGGGTGTGGTTTTTGTTCTATACGAATATTATGCTATATACGCTATCATCGGGTTCTTGTGCTCCCATGCAGGGGCTCAATGCTGAGCAGATACAGCAGCTGGTTCACATGGGATCCAATGACCTATGTCCCATCACAGGAGTTGTTCGACCAAATGAATATGGATGCAGCTCGGATATTTTGTGATAAGAGCTATTGGCGGTAGAGTGGTGAGACACACCATTCAGTATCAACATTTCCTGAAAGACCGGGTGCACCTAAACAGGCAGGGGCAAGAGGTATTTCGCAGTGCCTTGTGTAGGACCCTTGTGTGAATGTTTGTCGGTTGCCTCCCCGACTAACATTTGTAGAGCAGTAATTATGCAAGTGACGACAACTCGCCCACAGGGACAATAACATCAATGTTTTTGGCACTGTTCATGGTGTATGGGAGGGGGTCTTACATATTTAAATCCCTCTCTATAAAAATCCCGGCGCGATGCTGTTTGGCTCACACACTTAATCAGCAAGTTTAAGTGAGTGAATGAATTGGGTCTACACCTCTTTTAACTGTAATCGAGTTATATCACGCCATGTCAGCTTGATGTGGGAGGAAAGTCCGAAGTGGTACAGGTCTTAGGCGTTTACCACTTTGGAGAAACTCACAAGTAATAGAGATTATTATACGAGCATATGTCTCATACTGATTCTACGAAACGAGTGTCAGACTTCTTGTATTTTCAGGGCGAGAGCGAGGGTAATATACGAATTCTTACACGAGTTGCGTAAAATCAGTATGACACAGATGCAATGTAATGACTTCGTTATTACAGAGACCATAGACTGTTATATGGTCTCTGGTTATTATCCATTATTACTTAATTGTTTTTAGCTCCCCGTTAGAAAAATGCACTGATCACAACCGCCGTATTAGAAAACATCAACTCTCGAATCACGTCAACAATCTTCAGCTATGATGTCGTTGCTTGTGAGACGTCATTCTGACCTTACGTCACAATAAGATTCAAATGACGTCAACAAAGCCTTACGGATGACGTCAACAAATGACTGGTGCGCGTGAAGTGATATTTGCTCTAGTCATGCTAGTGAACATACGATTTTTATAAACACGGTTATTTCTAACCCGATTGGTAATAACAGGTATTATTTACCTATTTAAGAATACAGTTTAGTCCAAACAGAAGGGGATTTTTCAATTATTTGTTTTGCTGTTCCAAATATTTTTTTTTACACTAGGGAGACTATAGACTGATTATACTGATGAGCATCACTAATATATATATATATATATATATATAATATATATATATATATATCTTCTGCTAGTGCGACGGACGTTGTAACGATGTCGACAACTTCAAAGACGAAATGAAAAAGGACAGACAACACGCGCGGGAATAAAAAAGACGGAGTTATATTTCCGTAAATCGTAGACTGCGAGAATTTGTTTTAGGAAACGAGAAATTCGTTATGTATTTTCCAGAGCAAGATGATGTTAAATCAGACGCAAGGACGGGCTACACACACTCTTTTTAAATATTTGGCTGGTTATGTAGTACAGGTGCGAGTCGAAAGTAACATTCAAAGTATACAGTATAGACAGCTTGAGAGAAGGCATCAAGATGTCGGATGGCTGTCACTGCAGGAGTTGGCTGGTTCCCTAGACTAACATCTAGTCTCTGAAATGAACATATCGTACAGAAAAAACAGTTGTTCAGTTATCTTAATAAAAATATAATTAAAAGGGAGCCCAGTGATTCTCTTCATTTTCAGATACTGCAGTAATCTAGACTTGCCAAACATTAGACTTGCATGGGCTGTATTTGATTTATATTTGTATCAGGGTCTGTAAGACAGACTAGCTGGTTTCCGTTCGGTTTTTTCTGAGGTGCGCTAAGTTGAAGGGGGCGTGGCGAAAGGGGTCACGTGATGCGGCTAACTTTAGCTTTCGGCGAAGTTTAGCAACTGTGCGTTTGTTACAAAGGGTATCCAGAGACCATATAATAGAGGGACGGCCCTCTAGCCTATGCGCGAAACCATCAGTGCTACGGCTTGTACTGCGCAGCCTGTCCGGAAGCGAGCAGAAACGCGTTAACTGCAGTCATCGCTGTCGCCTTTTTTTCCCATGCAAAAGATATATTTTACTAAACAAAATTACACTCATGTATTTCTTAACATTGTTAACATTACAACTGAGATTTGTTGGTGCCCTAAAGCATGTCGTTGTCACTGTATTTGATGACTGTGATCACGCTTTGTCTTTGTCCGAGAGAACAAAATGGCGCACATGTAAAATCGGCAAAAGTGCAGATTTTGATTTTCAATAACGGCCTCTAATTCGCAATGAAAGTCCTTGGTTACCAAGGTGTATAAAAAGGATATATGTTAAAAACTGGCTTAGTGCCATTTACAAATTTAGGGCGGATGCGATATTTCAGATTTTGACTCCAGAAATGGGACTAAATCTGACTTTTCCCGAAATAATTACACCACAACTCTTAATTTCCGCATGCTTTCAGACGAATGTGTTCCTATCATCGGTCCTGAATTAAATAGTTTTACATTCATCACGATTTCCCCTTTGGCTTGGTACCAAAGTTATTTAGGTACGATCGGTAGTTTTTTTGGTATGATTTTTGGCGCAAGGCCATATTTTACGTCACATATTTTAAATTAAATTACCATATAGCAGACGAAATAACATGCATTTTGTCTGTGATTATCATCCGCATATATCTTTTGAAACATTATACAAAGTGACTTATATTGTATGATATTAGAATTGTTTTTGTAAGACGCGTATTTTTTTTACCTTTGCTTTCGCCATTTTTTCGTAAGTTTAACTTTGTTTCAGTTAGGCTTCTATCACATATCGCGCATATACTACATACTACAATACTACATATTTGTTATCTTCTGAAGATTTTGTCTGTATTAATCATGACTACATTTAATCAATTATTTATTTTATGCCGTGTAAATATTGATTATGAGCAAAATGATCTTGGCCTAAACCCAATCATAATAATGTAAATATGATGAAGGTACTACTTACTTTGTGTATTTACACAACAATGAAAACATCATACAAAAATAAAAATCCGTTACATGAAATATTTGTATTATAAAATTATCATTTGCTTTGTAAATGCCAAGAAAAAAGAAGGATTATATCGGCAGTCGTCGGGAGAGAAGTTCCAGACAACAAGGTCGAAGGTGTCAAACTTATCTCGCTCCGGCAAACCCTATTATCACTGCTAGCCCCAAACTGGCATTAACCAATAACATTTGATTCTTTCGAAGCCCATTGTCAAACACATCGAAAATTCATTTAACAACGCTCGTAGTTTAATGTGTATTTTTAATTCATTGGAACTATTAGCATTATAAAATAGTAGCGAATTTACATGAAATAAAAACATTAATATGGCGTCATTTTTTTTCTGGCTAATAGTAAAGCATTTACACCAGTCGGTGATCATGCATTTTTGCAAGTAAATCTAGTCTGGACTTAATATAAGATATGAAGTTAATCTGGAGATATATTTTGTGAACATCGGGAATAGGGTGATATGTTACAAGTGTCTTCCCTGCTTCTGAATGAGTTTTATTTACACTTCCTGAGTTCCTGTGCAATTTACCGGATCGTAGTTTTCTGTGGCGTTCGTAGTAGATTTGGTATATTTGTTTATTTATAATAGTTAACAATTGCAGCATAAAATGAGATATGTAAATTGAAATAAATGTCCCGGAAGACACACATGTTCAGCAAATAGTTTGCAGCCAACTGACATGTGCTAATGAGAGATATCATACAAAAATCTTTGTAATCCGCTAAGGGACGTCCTTTTATTGGATTGTCGCTGGTCGTAGTCGGAGAAATCTCGGCTAAGGGAATTAACTCTTACCCCGGATATTATGTAATATTGTTTACGTGGTTACCAGAATGGTCAGTCGTGAATGTCTGCGCATCTATTGCGCATCTGCAGCGGTACAGAGAGGTTAACAGCAGGGTGTCGGGGTGTATCAGTTACATGCCAGACCGTAGCGCTGATGGTTCATGATAAACTGTTGGTGAGGGCCGTCCCTCTATTATATGGTCTCTGGGGTATCCTAGAAGATATAAAAATTCCACGAAACAACTGATTTGGTCTGAATATTCTACGGATTGTTCTATATGATCATATCTGACGTGCCAACAGTGTGCGGTATCAGTGTATATTTCAGTGGACTTACACTCTGTTGGTAACAGACACCAGAAGAAATACCAACGTTAGACGGCCCAGTTGAAACGGTAACACGTCAAAATAGACATCGCGTAAAAACAGTCAAAACGGCCGTGAATTAATTTGATCTGTATACAGTGAAGGCATGATAATTTGAATAAATAAAACAATAGATGCACAAAAGTTTAGCCACTACTAATAGCTTATTCGCTACTGGCAGTGCAGTATTAATTTCCAAAACTTCCAAAAAGGTGAGGTGAAGCATTGGAATTAAGATTGGCATTTCTCAATTTTGACTTTGCATGTTAATTTGATATTAGTAGTTTCGTATTCCTTTCAACCATCGTGAGCACAGTTAACTCCAGTTATTGTAGATGACATTGCAACAGTCATTATTGTTTACCAGAAATATGTTAAAATATTTAATTAGACCAAAATTCAAACATTTTTTTCAAGAATGTTCCTCTGAGAATTAATAGAAAACTTCTAGAGGGCTTAAACGTGAAGGAAACGAAGCTTATATTATTGATATTATTTGAAAAACTATTGTTAGTGTGACATAATCCATAAATTGGGGCCCACAAAGCTTCCGGTCCGTGAAGATCCAGGTTAGAATAGATCTTCAGAAACCCATCGCTTGTCGTAAGAGACATCTTATGGGATCGGGTGGTCAGGCCCGCTGACTTGGTTGATGTATGACATCGCATCCCAAGTGCGTAGATCAATGCTTATGATGTCAATCAATAGATTGTTTCATTCAGGCTCGATTATTTACAGACCGCCATCATATAGCTGGAATATTGCTGAATGCAGCGTTAAACAACAAACAAACAAACAAACACAAGCATCTGTAGGCGTTGATTACAGTGTATGAATTCTTTTCTTGGTGAACACCTTTTCATAGCACACCTTAACCAAAAGTTTCAGAGAATTCATAACAATTTAGGTTGGTACAGTTGTTTCAGTACTCTAATGTCATGCAATTTGTTGCATCCTTTACCATTGCCAGGTTCTTCTGTTTCGGGTTTAAAACATGGATTTGCCCTAAATGTGATCCTGGATTTGTCAGCACCTTTGTTCATGGGTTTCAAGTGGTAACATAAGATACACTTGCATTATACAGGATACCTGTTGGCCGTATTTGTGTGATGCTTCTAATACATGGGCATACGACAGAGTGTCTGTTTGAAAAGTAGAGGTATAAAGCTCAAAATAAGCAGAAAAAATGACACTGTATACATTTGTTTGGTTTAATATGATTAAACCATGAAACTGAATATCAAAGCCAAATTGGCAGAAGGTATCCAGTATACTGCAGTCTAGCAATATTCCAGATAATTCACAGAATTGTAATTGAGAACTATTGACTGAAAACCTAATGAACGATTCATACCAGTAGGTGCGATGAGTCATCAGTCACAGAATCACAGAGCCTGAACACCTCATCCAATTTAGTTGCCTCTTTATGACCAGCAATTCATAAACATCAAAAATCAAACATCATCATGAGTTCCATAATGATGTACGGCAACCCCCATCAGTTGCATACACCAGGTCCACATTTCATCAAACATGATTCTGTTCAATGCAACAGCAATTGATTGAACAAAATGCAAAGATTGTAATTACAACAGAACAAAGTTATAGGTATGATATTAGGCAGTTACCTTGATCGAGGATTGTATCCATAAATTTCCACTTAAAAGAACAATACCCCATACGTCTGGAGCTGTATAAAGAAACTTGTTGATGACACATGCCTTTGTAACACTCTAATATTTTAAAATATTGATATTATAACTCATGCTTGTTTCTCAACTGATCACGTAAGTTTGTTTCAGGTGTTTCACATAGGTGTCAAGTCTCATTGGTCAGCTGAGATAGCACACATGACAACTATTTTCATGATGATCACGGTTCTTTATAAAAATCCATTGAGTTAGATAACAATGAACAATCAACATATTATTGCTTAACCCTTTGGGGGTATTCTGTCTGCTTTAGTAATCTTACACATGTAAACATTTACTTTTGACAAATCCACTGTGCAAGATAATGGTCATTAATCAGTCATCATATTTTCGGTTAATCCTTTGATGGATGTTTTTTTTGTAACTCAACTGACCATTCCTCTCCTGCTGCGCTGTCACGTTCATATTACATAACATACATTACACCCTACTTCAGACTTGGATTAAGATATAATAATGATATTAATGACGCAATAAAAGATTTATGATTTTACCCCAGACGCAAGAAATGTCAATTGGGAACCTTTGTCAGGTAATCTGAGTGGTGCTGCCACTAATCCTACCTGTGAAAAATTCATTAACTGAGCATCAAGTGAATGAGGACAAATACACAGGTGTAGAGTTATACCAGGATACATGGATGACAACAAGGGAGTTGTAATCCTATGATCCAAGCAATCCAAAAATGCTTCCACTGAAACTATAACCATCACAGGTATTTTGAAATAATAACGACATCCGATGAGCTGCCATCGTTCTTTTTGTCTGTTTAGGTTAATGAAATGAATTAAAAAGTCATGAATCCTTTGAAATGTTGAAATCTTCATAGATCACGGGTAACCAATCAGTGTTCAGAAATGGGCAAAGATTTGCCTCCAAGTTTATGTATGATGTCTTTACAGACGGTAGCTCATTGTCTTGTCATGCTCATTTGCGTTTCCTAGCAAATTGACTCACGGCAGCTAGTGAACCCCAGCAGGCAGTGTTAGACTGCGGGAAGAAGCCAGGGGTTAGCGGCCCTTTAATCTCAATCAACTCTTCCAAAGTATTGCAACTTTATTCTAAAAGTTATTGAGCCCTCTTGCTATCATGATTATGCTCTAAGTGTTCATTTTAACATAACAACAGGTTTTTCTCAGTATTCTAGCAGATTTATTAAGTTACAGGAAGGTTTGTTCCTGAGCCTGTATTTTGCAGGAAATCCATTCTGTACATATATATTACTCAGCAGTTTTAGAAGTAATGACTTCAGATCAAAGATGCATTGGTTTCATTTTGCAGGAATACTGACATTTGGTTGGTACCATTCCAAACAATGAGTGTTGTGAAGTTCCCAGATGCTGGAGGGTGTTCCATGACCCTGATGGATGTGGATGGCCGATACCTGACCGCCTCTGCTTCCCCTGACCACTGGCATTCCCTCAGGACCATGAATACCAGATGTGATGATGTATATATTTGTTCATACCCCAAATCTGGTGAGACCTGGCCTGAAAGTACCAACTACAAGTATTTTCGGTTTTATGTTATTTTTCTCAGTTGTGCTAGGAACACAAAAGTTTAAATCTATCACTTCCCCATATGAATATTTAATCACTTGTGAGTATTCAGATTATGTAGGGGCATACAGGAATGACATTGAAAGTAACATGTACTTTGCTAATTTGATCTAAATGTTTTGTACAGGCTTTCACTGGATTTGGGAAATTGTAGCAATGCTGAGATCAGGGGCCTCAACACCAATTCAGGAGCTCATGGAAGGTCATATAACAGATTTTATGAAATTGGATGATCTGGAGAGACAGGCATCACCGAGGACATTGACAACTCACAGATATTCGGTGGAACTCCCTGAGGAAATCTTTCACATGGGGTGTAAGATAGTATATTTGGTTCGTGACCCTAAAGACATTTGTGTTTCATATTACCATCACCTTACACAGTTGAAAGGACTGGATTATGAAGGACACTTCAGTGATTTTGTCCCTTTGTTTCTCGAAGGAAAAGGTAGGTGCAGTTATTGATGCATTGTGTGTCTTCATAATTCATCAGTGTGTCCTCATCTGTGTGGTGTGTCACTGTCTTCATCATCTACTGTAGCTGTCACTTGTCTCTCCACTCTACTGTAGCTGTCACAGTCTCTCCACTCTACTGTAGTTGTCGTAGTCTCTCCACTCTACTGTAGCTGTCACAGTCTCTCCACTCTACTGTAGCTGTCACTAGTCTCTCCACTCTACTGTAGCTGTCACAGTCTCTCCACTCTACTGTAGCTGTCACTAGTCTCTCCACTCCACTGTAGTTGTCACAGTCTCTCCACTCTACTGTAGCTGTCACAGTCTCTCCACTCTACTGTAGCTGTCACTAGTCTCTCCACTCCACTGTAGTTGTCGTGTCTCTCCACTCTTCTGTAGCTGTCACAGTCTCTCCACTCTACTGTAGCTGTCACTAGTCTCTCCACTCCACTGTAGTTGTCACAGTCTCTCCGCTCTACTGTAGCTGTCACAGTCTCTCCACTCTACTGTAGCTGTCACTAGTCTCTCCACTCCACTGTAGTTGTCGTGTCTCTCCACTCTTCTGTAGCTGTCACAGTCTCTCCACTCTACTGTAGTTGTCACTAGTTTCCCCAGTCCACTGTAGCTGTCACTAGTCTCTCCACTCTACTGTAGCTGTCACTGCACAGTCTCTCCACTCTACTGTACCTGTCACTACACAGTCTCTCCACTCGACTGTAGCTGTCACTACACAGTCTCTCCACTCTACTGTAGCTGTCACTGCACAGTCTCTCCACTCTACTGTACCTGTCACTACACAGTCTCTCCACTCGACTGTAGCTGTCACTACACAGTCTCTCCACTCTACTGTAGCTGTCACTACACAGTCTCTCCACTCCACTGTAGCTGTCACTTCACAGTCTTTCCACTCCACTGTAGCTGTCACTAGACTCTCCACTCTACTGTAGCTGTCACTACACAGTCTCTCCGCTCTACTGTAGCTGTCACTTCACAGTCTCTCCACTCCACTGTAGCTGTCACTTCACAGTCTCTCCACTCTACTGTAGCTGTCACTTCACAGTCTTTCCTTTCTACTGTAGCTGTCACAGTCTCTCCACTCTACTGTAGTTGTCACTAGTCTCTCCACTCTACTGTTGTTGTCGTAATCTCTCAACTCTACTGTAGCTGTCACTACACAGTCTCTCCACTCTACTGTAGCTGTCACTTCACAGTCTTTCCACTCCACTGTAGCTGTCACTAGACTCTCAACTCTACTGTAGCTGTCACTACAGTCTCTCCACTCTACTGTAGCTGTCACTAGTCTCTCCACTCTTCTGTAGCTGTCACTTCACAGTGTCTCCTTTCTGCTGTAGCTGTCACTACACAGTCTCTCCACTCGACTGTAGCTGTCACTACACAGTCTCTCCACTCTACTGTAGCTGTCATTACACAGTCTCTCCACTCTACTGTAGCTGTCACTAGTCTCTCCACTCCACTGTAGTTGTCACTAGTCTCTCCACTCTACTGTAGCTGTCACTACACAGTCTCTCCACTCTACTGTAGCTGTCACTGCAAGTCTCTCCACTCTACTGTACCTGTCACTGCACAGTCTCTCCACTCTACTGTAGCTGTCACTAGACTCTCAACTCAAATGTAGCTGTCACTTCACAGTCTCTCCGCTCTACTGTAGCTGTCACTACACAGTCTCTCCACTCTACTGTAGCTGTCACTACACAGTCTCTCCACTCTACTGTAGCTGTCACTAGTCTCTCCACTCCACTGTAGTTGTCACTACACAGTCTCTCCACTCTACTGTAGCTGTCACTACACAGTCTCTCCCCTCTACTGTAGCTGTCACTACACAGTCTCTCCACTCTACTGTAGCTGTCACTAGTCTCTCCACTCCACTGTAGTTGTCACTAGTCTCTCCACTCTACTGTAGCTGTCACTGCAAGTCTCTCCACTCTACTGTAGCTGTCACTGCAGTCTCTCCACTCTACTGTAGCTGTCACTAGACTCTCAACTCTACTGTAGCTGTCACTTCACAGTCTTTCCACTCTACTGTAGCTGTCACTACACAGTCTCTCCACTCTACTGTAGCTGTCACTAGTCTCTCCACTCTACTGTAGCTGTCACTAGACTCTCCTTTCTACTGTAGCTGTCACTACACAGTCTCTCCGCTCTACTGTAGCTGTCAATGTACAGTCTCTCCTTTCTTCTGTAGCTTTCACTTCACAGTCTCTCAACTCTACTGTAGCTTTCACTACACAGTCTCTCCCCTCTACTGTAGCTGTCACTACACAGTCTCTCCACTCCACTGTAGCTGTCACTAGTCTCTCCACTCTACCGTAGCTGTCACTAGTCTCTCCGCTCTACTGTAGCTGTCACTAGTCTCTCCGCTCTACTGTAGATGTCACTTCACAGTCTCTCCACTCTACTGTAGTTGTCGTAGTCTCTCAACTCTACTGTAGCTGTCACTACACAGTCTCTCCACTCCACTGTAGCTGTCACTACACAGTCTCTCCACTCTACTGTAGCTGTCACTAGTCTCTCCACTCTACTGTAGCTGTCACTAGTCTCTCCTTTCTTCTGTAGCTTTCACTTCACAGTCTCTCAACTCTACTGTAGCTTTCACTACAGTCTCTCCCCTCTACTGTTGCTGTCACTACACAGTCTCTCCACTCTACTGTAGCTGTCACTAGTCTCTCCACTCTACTGTAGCTGTCACTAGTCTCTCCGCTCTACTGTAGCTGTCACTAGTCTCTCCGCTCTACTGTAGCTGTCACTTCACAGTCTCTCCACTCTACTGTAGTTGTCGTAGTCTCTCAACTCTACTGTAGCTGTCACTACACAGTCTCTCCACTCCACTGTAGCTGTCACTACACAGTCTCTCCACTCTACTGTAGCTGTCAATGTACAGTCTCTCCTTTCTTCTGTAGCTTTCACTTCACAGTCTCTCAACTCCGCTGTAGCTGTCACTACACAGCCTCTCCACTCCACTGTAGCTGTCACTACAAAGTCTCTCCACTCTACTGTAGCTGTCACTAGTCTCTCCACTCTACTGTAGCTGTCACTAGTCTCTCCGCTCTACTGTAGCTGTCACTGCACAGCTTTCCGCTCTACTGTAGCTGTCACTACACAGTCTCTCCCCTCTGCTGTAGCTGTCACTAGACTCTCCACTCTGCTGTAGCTGTCACTTCACAGTCTCTCCACTCCACTGTAGCTGTCACTACACAGTCTCTCCCCTCTACTGTACCTGTCACTAAACTCTCCACTCTACTGTAGTTGTCACTAGTCTCTCCACTCTACTGTAGCTGTCACTAGTCTCTCCTCTCTACTGTAGCTGTCACTAGTCTCTCCACTCTACTGTAGCTGTCACTAGTCTCTCCACTCTACTGTAGCTGTCACTAGTCTCTCCACTCTACTGTAGCTGTCACTAGTCTCTCCACTCTACTGTAGCTGTCACTAGTCTCTCCGCTCTACTGTAGCTGTCACTACACAGTCTCTCCACTCCACTGTAGCTGTCACTACACAGTCTCTCCACTCCACTGTAGCTGTCACTACACAGTCTCTCCCCTCTACTGTAGCTGTCAATGTACAGTCTCTCCTTTCTTCTGTAGCTTTCACTTCACAGTCTCTCAACTCCGCTGTAGCTGTCACTACACAGTCTCTCCACTCCACTGTAGCTGTCACTACACAGTCTCTCCACTCCACTGTAGCTGTCACTAGTCTCTCCACTCTACTGTAGCTGTCACTAGTCTCTCCGCTCTACTGAAGCTGTCACTGCAAGTCTTTCTGCTCTACTGTACCTGTCACTACACAGTCTCTCCTTTCTACTGTAGCTGTCACTACACAGTCTCTCCGCTCTACTGTAGCTGTCACTTCACAGTCTCTCCACTCCACTGTAGCTGTCACTAGACTCTCAACTCTACTGTAGCTGTCACTTCACAGTCTTTCCTTTCTACTGTAGCTGTCACAGTCTCTCCACTCTACTGTAGTTGTCACTAGTCTCTCCACTCTACTGTTGTTGTCGTAATCTCTCAACTCTACTGTATCTGTCACTACACAGTCTCTCCACTCTACTGTAGCTGTCACTTCACAGTCTTTCCACTCCACTGTAGCTGTCACTAGACTCTCAACTCTACTGTAGCTGTCACTACACAGTCTGTCCCCTCTACTGTAGCTGTCACACATAATTGACTATTTGAAGAAGAATCTAACTGTTTTAACTCATGACTTGTGCTTGTGCTACAGTTCCTCTGAAACTAGTGTCGCTCCTTATTTCACCATTTTATTCAATATTCTGTTTGATATCTGTAGTTTTCAATCTCAGTGGTCTGTTGGTGTAATTGTCCTCGTACATAAGAAAGTAGATTAGAATGACAAACAGCTGTAACTGCTGTAACAATGTAATATGGGCCAATGGTCTACATACATATGCTTGAATAAAGAGAATTGAAGAACGTCCAACTTCTTATTAAGACTGAATTCAGTTTTGAGACCGATGATAATGATCACATAAACACCGTTCATGCAGGATACCAGGTAGGCTTCAAGTTGGAATTGGCTGATATATGAGAACTAAAGGGCCTGTAATGACTGTAACAACACCTACAGTAGGGGACAAATGTTTGGTTGGTTGTGTTTTAACGCCACTATCAGCAATAGTCCTGCTATATGACAGCGGTCTGTAAATAATTGACACTGGACCAGACAATCCAGTGATTGATGTCGTAAGCATCGATCTATGCAACTAAGATACGATGCCATGCATCAACAAAGGCAATGAGCCTGACTACCCAATCCCGTTAGTCAATTTTTACAGCAAGCATGGGTTGCTGAAGACGTGTTCTAAACCGGATTTTAATGGGATAGAAGGGGACACATGATTAAGGCTTGCTGGTGTTACTTTCAGTTCCCTTCAACTCCTGGTGGGAGCACATCACATATTGGTCGGCCATGAAGGTGAAGTATCCAGAAACACCACTTCTTGTTGTCAGTTATGAAGACATGAAACAGGTAACAGATCAATGTGGAAACTGTTACCATTCCTTTCCATTCTTCCCAAATCCTGTGATGTTTGGGCTACAACAAACAATTTGCAATGATTATAAATATTGGATTGTGAGCAACGTAAGCTTGTTTGTGGGTTTCATCAAATGGGTAATGTCTGCAACCTGCATCACTTCAAACTTTCCTTCCACATCAAGCTGATATTGATACTGAATTAAAACTTTCAAAAAATTAAAATGTCCAGAACCCTCATTCTCAGTTCTATTGCCTGGTGTTATAGACATTACCTGAACCGTGTAAATGTTTTGGCTTTGGGTTTTTGATACGTTATGGAGCCCCCTCTATACAGATTTCGATCACCAATGTCAGCAGTGTTTTACCCTGTGAGAACGGTGAAGAAAAGTTTTGAAAGACCAATGTAAAAAATGGGCAACTGATCATGAATACACACTGCATTTTAGAAACGGGTCAAATGTAACAAATGTTAAATTTGGGATAACACTTTCAGATTCTAGTACTTTTTTGGATTAAGTTCCATCTGGCATTTGAACCCTCATTCACACAAAGTCAGCTAACATCTGACTCACATCTAACCCACTCAGTCACTGAGGCTTCCACAAAGTCAGACAACTGGTAGTCTAGATCAGCTTCTTTGTGTACCCCTCTGACAAGTGTAAATTGGCTCGGCTCCCATGGCCAAAAGCTATGAACACAAATGTTACATGTAAAAAATGTTATATTTGGGATAGCACTTTCTTTGTAATCCCGGATGTGACACAACCCAAAAAGTACTAGAATCTGTACTTCACTGAGAAAGTGTTATCCCAAATATTTGGGCAGCTTATTGTCGCTCCACGTGTCATGTAAAGATTCCGTGCATGGTCCATCCTCCGTGAAGAAACTTAAACGAATTGTGTTATCCCACATTTCTTTATCTTCATGCAAAGAAAAAACAGAAAAGACCACTTCGGCGATTATTACATGGTTTTCCGTTGAAGAGGACTTGTACTCCACCTCCTTTTTGACTGCCGACCTTCTGTGCAGACCATGCCCTGTGCACGTGAATGCTCACCGTCTCATACAGTTGTCATGCTTTCCACTGACCACTGGACTGTACTGTCGTCTGCCGTATCCCCCCTTATTTCTAATAAGATGAAGGGTGTCTCCCTTGACCCGGCATTGGACAAGACTCGGCCATCAGCAGTGGGTTGTCTCTCCCCCTCCCAGCTTGTGAATCTGTACATGAAGCTCCCTGCAGGGCTCTGAAGATGTAGATACACCTCTTCGGCTTCAACAGCCCTATTGATCAGCAGGATGATCATCATCAAACAAGGGATTGACGACTGGCAATGGATCTTCGTCCACGTGATCGTTATCCTTCGTTAGATCGTAAGCGACTGAGGACATGTAGTCCATGCTTCACCAGATCTTCGTTACTCCATGGATTGTCAGTTATCCACAGGTTGCCGTTCTTTGATGGACACCAATGTCGACAGTTCACCATATCCTACCTCTCAGGATCAACAGATCACCACTTCATCAGATTGTTACTTGAGGGATCTCAACACATATAGATACATCGATAGATCCACATATAGATACATCTTCCCGTCAAGAACTCGAACGCTTGTATGATTTTGACTGCTGGACACATGAATTGTCCTCAGTCTGGATTGGCAACTCAACATATCGATGTTTCATTCACGGAAACAACAGTCTTCAAGAGTCAGTCGTCGCTTGCGGTATTGTCAGTTTGTCAGCTCCGTAGATGTTCCTCGCACGTCTAACCTGCTTCACCAGACCACCATCAGTCTGAGGATCAGCAAACTTCACAAGGTCGTCAGCATTGTGCATCAGAACATTAAAGTTCTCAAAACGACCGCCAGTCACTAGAATGTCGGAGGGATGATGTTCAACATAGCTGACAGACTCGTTCACCCTTTTTTGAATGCCAGGATTTGTCTGACCACCGTAACCAAAGGGATTTCCCTTCATCAAAAGGATTCCAGAGCCCTTCTGATTTCACAGGTCATTACAGGTTGGACACTCAACAGCATCAGCGCCCTTTTCCTAGAGCTTGTTACAGCCAAGGTTCAGTGGATAGACAGGACACTCTCGGTCAGCCACGGTACTTCTCTTCTAAATGTAATTATCAGGACTACTCACTGACTTATTTGACGCATGTCTTCATATCCCAATTGCGTGGATAGATGCTCATGTTTTCAATCACTTGATTGTCTGGTCCAGACTTGATTATTTACAGACCACCATCATATAGCTGGAATACTGCTGAGTGTGGCATTAAACAACAAACAAACAAACAAACAAAGACTATAGATATGGAGGCCGCCATGACAGCTCAGATTGTTCGTTCATCCTCGGTCTCCTAGGGATCGCCGTTGTCAAGGATACAGGATCCATTCTACTTTAAGGTCTGAATGTTTACCATTTCACCACTCGCCACTCCTTACTGCTTCCCCTACTACCAGCCATATGGACTCACAGACTGGTCTTATTGTTATTCTCTTTACCTAACTCGAACTTTCAGATGCTGGTCCATGTAATGTCTAGGGCACTGGATCAACGTGGCTTCCTGTCAGACAGACTCCTACTTTACCTACTTCCTCTATGACTAGGACTCCTGCTCTGGATATTGTCTCAGACCTGTTGCCCCCTGCACTAGGGGATCCAATGTCACCAGTCTATTCTCTCAGTAATTATGATGTTGTCCTCCCGTCAGACATGCTTTACTGGATTGCGGGTAGCCTGCAACCTCGGGGTATCGCGGTACTTGTCATGTACGCTGAATGGAACAAAATGCACTCACTAACCTTTATGATTATTCGTGTTCTCTATATCAGATGTCATTTATTCTATCTAACAATGCATATTTTACTGATAAAAGTTCGTTATTTACATTAGTAGCGCCGAGTAAAAGCCGGGCCTCGCGCTCTGTTTGACAAGGGAGAGAACTCCATCGTATCGCGGTACAGAGAAAAGTTGTTTATGGAGGTCCGAATTGGACAAAAAGAGGACATAATTCTACCAACCACTTAATATGATCATGCCAGACATCAGTGGTTTGTCCAGACAAGTGCAAAGACAGCACAAGTAAAATTCTAAATGTGTTATCAGCAATAGGTATTCAATGCATATTTACCGAAAAGTAGGAGAAAAATATTTTTATAAGTCAACATCATAATATCAGAAATGATATTTTAAGATTGTTTAAAAAAACTTGGATGACAATAATTTGTCACAAAATGGAAAAATGTTAAAAGTCAACAATAAATATATAAAAAGCACTCCTAGTATGCCCAAAGTATGTATTTATGTTTTGGTTACTAGTGAAGAACGTATTTCTAAGTTTGGCATTATGGCCCTTATGATCTCCCAATAGATTCTGGGCACAGAGCGGGAATAAATGTGCGGACTACGTAACTTCCGTTACCTCATTAGTCGCCATGAATATGCAGATGATCTAGTTCAGGTCAATAGAGAAAGTTTACTTGGGGAACTGCGGGTTATATCGTTGGCCATTGATAGATGGGGGTAAGGCAATATTACAACAGATGCCAGAAATATGTATCAACGGATTAATAACTCCTTACTTACAGCAGACGGAACATTCCGAGGAAATTGAAATTGTTTACGAAGTGAGCACTTCCTGGTTACTGATTTGCATTAATAGACAGCCGCTAAGAGGCGTGTCCCGCGTGAACTATCGGAAATCACAAATGCCGCGATACGATGAATGCCGCGGTACCATGGGGTCCGAGTATAAATTAGGGCTCTCCCGTTGCTCCTCTGAGGAGGACAGACACTCTGGCTTTGTGGTCTCAAGTCGCATGCTTCCCCTCAACTATCCTCTCAACCACAGAGGCTGTTGCTCATGCCCACTCAATGGAAGAGGTCCATGTTCCTGGGGGCATGTCCATGGTCCACAAAAAGTTTCGGACGGTAATGGACCTCTTGTCACACTGCATGGGTGCCCTCACCACTTTGCATCGGCATGGAGTTCTCCATTTCTGACTATGGAAAGACCATTTCAAGGTCAGAAAGACCATTTCAAGGTAAGGTTATATCAACTCCCTTGGTCGTCTCCTTTCCTATTTACCAATAAGATTCAGGAAAAATCAGAGGACATTGCCAAGGTCATTCAATAACAAGTCTCCACTGATCTCCTCAGGCTGCATCGTCAATATCTAGAGGATCAGCATTGCACTAAGGACAGACTTCACCCTCTGTATGTCCCGGCCTGACGTTTGTGAGGCTTACAGCCATAAACATGGATCTTTTCGTGGGAAAGACTTTAGTCAACGTGGCAATAGTGGAACCATATCTTCATCTTCAAGGTTTGTCTCCTTCACTACTGGATCTGCCTTGGGTGAGTTGATCAAGCCATTTGACTCCTTCGCCAAGGGACTTTGTTCCAGATCAGTGCAACTGGGAAGTTCCTCCCCAAGCCGTCCCACTGTTCCAGACAGGAAGGAAGACTTTCTTACTTTGCAGCCAACTGGACTCTGCTAGGCAACCTTTTGTAACAAAGATCTTGACGGATAGTTACAGGCTCCACTCAAATGGCATAGTTACCATTTGTCCAAGGCACAAGGTTCCGCCAGATGTCGGCCACCACGGAGGCCCTAGGTATGCTAGTTGTGGAACATGCAATAGAATGTCTTGGTCCTGCCCCTTCCTTTCCAGGTTTCTGCTTCCTGATCTTCATTGTTCAGAAGAACGACGGCAGCAAGATGAGGTTGATCTTCAACTTGAAGGACTTCAACTCCCAATACCTGGACCCTCAGCCACGGTTCTGCATAGTCTACTCCATTGCGTTACTACGAACGATCATGTGCCCAGGCTACTCTATATCTTTGTGGGCAAAGATATAGAGACATGTACTTTGGATCTCAGACAGCTGTTACTTCTGGCTTAGTGGAAAGAACTACTCAGACTTCTGATGTCGGCACAAGCCCTCACTTAGTGGGGGTCATTTACACCTACACCCATTACAGTGGTTCCTCTGGATCTTGCTCCAGGAGCACAATTGTGAAATCCAGATCCATGATCACCTTTGGAGATGGCTTCAACATTTGAATGTTTGCGCTGGGGTCTCCTTGCTGATATTTGGGCCGGAGCAGCGCCTCTTGGTCAACATCTTCACAGTTGGTTGGATCAACTTTATCCCCCTATTTGGCCGCTATTAATTCCATTGTTGTCACGACTTGATACCCACTGTCGCTGAGCTTTAGGCTTTGATTTGCTCATACCACCTTGTGGACCAATCAATTTAGACCTCCAGCATGGGATCTCAACGTCATCCTTCGTCACCTATCTTTGGCCAAGTATGAATCACTTGCGGACAAGACCTTTAAACTCATTACGTTCAAGATGGTCTTCCGCCTCGCCCTGGTTACAACGGCCCGAATCATTGAGATTCATGATCAACATGACAAAGTCTTCCTAGGTTTGAGAACCAGCACCCAAAGGAGCTTGACTGCCTATTACCCTTCCACTGCTCTCATCCATACTGGGACCTGATGATGTGGAAAGACCTCTCGCTTTGCCCAGTCCAAGCCTTGAAGGACAACTTCAAGGCATCTCAGGCCTCCTGTTGTTCACGCAAGCATCTTTTTATCCCATTTTTGATAGCTTCAACCTCAGAGGTATATCGAACCACCATCTCCTTTTGGCTGAATTTTGGCCCCAAGTTGTTTCCAACCCTCATGAGATGAGGGCAGTGTCTTCGAACTTGGCATTGCACAGTAATTGCACACTCACAGCCATCATGGAATGATGTGTCTGGCGATATGATATGGTCTTTGCTTCCCACCTCCTTTGTGATGTCTCGGTCCCCACGTCCAAGGTTTTTATCATGTTGGTGCTCTCGTCCTGGCCCAACAGCTCACAGCAGCCAGTCAGTGCATGCCAAGCATGCTCCAGTCCCACATTTCGTATCCTGTATATACTGCAATAAATTCTTGAAGCTATTGTCTTTGTTGCATATCTTTCAATTAATTCTTGAAGTTATTCTCTTTGTGGCATATCTTTCATTTTAAATAATGACCAGATCTTCTACCTGCTCACCTCTATCAGGTGCATGTAATGTCTCAGTAGTTGATTGAAGTGGACACCTCCTCTTATATGGGGTGAGTCGTGACTTAATAGGCGTCGCCTGGTTCATGGTTGTTGATTGACGTCCTGTGTGAAACCACGGAACACATGATTACCCAAACTCATGCTGTATCTGTCTCAGTATCACAAAGAGGGTTTCTGAAGCAACCCTACACAAGTTTTTCCTTACAACTAACCTTGTGAAATCTTTGGGTTGGGCATTTAGCATGTGAGATAAATATACAATTTGTTGTAAAATTTACAAATTTTATACTTATCCTATCTCACACAATGCATTCATCCAAAGTTTGGATCCTGGGGTGCAGATACCCTAGCCTGTAAAAGGACCTCAACCGTGAGATGTACACGAAGAAGCTGGAACAAAACAATGAAACAGACTGTAGCCTGTGCCCCGATACCCACGAGTTATCCACGATGGCCCACTCTCGCTCATATTCTTCTCAGTCTGCCTTACTGACAGACTTGTTGTTGAAACTTTTGTACATCCTCACATTGTCATCAGCTTTTGACATTTTCAAGAGGTGTTACCTCCATATATCCTTTCTCTGCTTTATATGTCCGCTTATTTGGAGTGTTGTATAATTATTTTTTTTTCATTACCGCATTTGTAGCCATCTTGCTTTATCGTTCTTCCCATGTTTACGAGTTTTGCATGTTGATGTCATTTTTGCGACAGTTTTCTTAACTCTTGGTAAATCTCTTATTTATTTTAATGATAATAACTTTCCTATGGCATATTTCCTATTATTTAGGCGTAATATGTTTTTGGTTATCTTCTGGTTGTTTTTTGGGTGCATGGTTCTCCTGTTTTTCCAGTAACGTGTTTAATATGCTTAACATTTATTACTGGTAATTACCCTCATGCGCTGTTTACATTTTTTGCAGAAAGTATTCTATGCGTTGTACTTGCCAATTGATACTCTGTTTACTCTCTTATATCAATTGAAGAAATTGCATCTTACAGAAAGGCTCCTGATAAGCGCTCAAAGCAACTTGCGAAACAGAAGATGATGACTGGTCCTCCTCAACTGTTTCCGACTTCTCCTGCACCATCGGTGCCGGTACAATGTTGGAGACCTCCTCTACGTCGATGATGGTTACTTCAGATCTTCCGCCCGAATCGATGCCCTCTGCATCGGTAGATGTTTTTAATCTGCTAATATCTGTGCTTTTGAGAAGCAATTGCTTCAACCTTAACCTGACGATTTGATATTGCCACCTGTCAGCAAGGATGTCGCAAGCGCTCGACAGTTTCCGGATCGTCGTTTCCGCACTGTCTGACACTTCTTTCCGCCTGCCAACATGTTCCTGTTGACCTGAGGATACCCTGATACCTTCAGTGAGCACACTGGAAAGTCACCAGATGTCGCCGGTATTTCGCCAGCAGTCGCTGGGACTCGTCCTGCTAGGCATCGTCTAATATGAAGCGTCTTCCCAATTCTCTCAACAGTGGAAATCCCATGTTGGAAAGCGCCCTAGCCTCATGTGGAAACCCAAGCACCAGTCCCCTTAGAAAGACTGGAACAAGGCTGATGGCACTTTTCTGGCGGGGAATGCCGATGAAAGTGACTTTCCCCAGCTGCCCATCAACTGGCAACTCCTTCAGCTAGTTGTCCCTGCTTCTCTGATAGGAGGGTGACTTCAAAAGACTTCACACAGATCCAGCACCACGGGTTTTGTACTGATTGGCAAGAATATGGTGGAAATCTTGGACGCCGACACCATCCAGCCAGGCTTTTATTCACCCATATTCCTGGTGTTTAAGAAGGGCTTCCCCATACTGCAGATGATTCACAATCTTGCCCACTTCATTCTCCAATACCTATGTACCTCTTTGGGCTAATGAATAACATGTTTGTCTCATTGATAGGCCTGTCGTATATATCTTCAGTAGAGGACCAGCCAGGTCCAATAAATGGCTGTGGCACGTTGTCCATCTGCCGTCTGATGGATGGATCTCACAACCTGCTGAAAGGTTGAGGCTTCAGGAGGATGTCTCGCAATATATCATGGAGAATTATTCATTGTGTTAAAAATAAAAAGTAGCTGCTTTTTAAAATGAAAATTGATTCAGTCAATTACAAGTATATCAAAGATTATATGACAAAATTGGAGTGAGAACAGTACTTGATGACTAGTATTGATGTGCGCACAGAAATGATGAATTGTCCTTAGGACACAACATGGTGACTACAGGGTATATACTGAAATCATTTTTTAATTTGTAGTTTACACAACCTACAGCTTATCTATGGATGAGAGGCCAGGCACCTGTGAAGATCCAGGTAGAATAGGTCTCCAGCAAACCATGCTTGCCATAAAAGGCGACTATGCTTGTCGTAAGAGGTGACTAACGGGATTGGGTGGTCAGGCTCGCTGACATGGTTGATGCTTGTCATCGATCCTAATTGCATGGATCGATGCTCACGATATCAATCACTGGAATGTCTGGTCCAGACTCGATTATTGTCATGTAGCTGGAATATTGCCGAGTGCGGTGTTAAACAACAAACCAACATGGTCACGAAACTGACATTCATAAGTGGGGAAGCCACTGGGAATTCCCTTGAACAACCCTTAATTTTGAATTTTTTTGCATACACTGGGAAATGTCAGAGAGTTTGACTACATGCCAATGCATCGATATCCTCGCTATGATCCATTGCAGTGTACAAAACTTAGGAATTCTCATCCACTGTCGTAGTATTGACTAGATCTGTGTCTTTACTGATAGTTTCAGTCTACAGCAATCTATGAATTTACCTAAGTATCATTTTGACACATCTTTACAATGATCTTTCAATTATCTGACATCTGATCAATGATAACTAACACTTGCAACCGCCACAGGTTCATAAACAAATTTGTCCCCTGCTGTGATATTGCTGGAATAAAGCTAAAAGAGGTGTAAAACTGTACTCACTCACTCATAAATATATAAATTTATCGTGTCAACCATTTTAATATCTTTTTGATGTAAATGTATTACGATACACTGTCACTGTGGATGACACACTGAGGTAGTTCACAACAGACCTGTCTCCTCTAATGGGGATATAATTTGAATGTATTTGTTGTAACCAAACAACAAAAGATGTTTTTGTAGAGCAGTTTGTTCATACACAAACTCATGTCACATCTTCTGTTGAGGAACTTTTTTATTCTGCGATACACCTGGTTGTTGTATGGCTGTCAGTGTAAACATGAAGTCACACACACTGAATAAACTTCTCATATGGTCATATCCAATGTAGTGGTCATATGTCACTCATGCAAATAGGAGTTAAAGTTATATGTTCCTGATGATAGCAATGACAAACGTTTGCAGATTAGAATCATATATAATTCAAATCCAAAAGGAATTGTGATGTAGGAATTTTATTGTGATCACATCAAAAATCTTTTCAGGACCCTGTTGGTGGTATAAAGCGTCTTGCTGCCTTCCTAGAAGTGGATGTTGCTGAAGATGTGATAAAGAACATTGCCAAAAACACAGAGTTCACAACCATGAAATCTGCAAAAGAACAACTTGAGAACAAACTGGTGTCTTATTACAAATGTGGGAAAGAGATTATGTACAGGAAAGGTGAGGATATTCATATGACATTTTAGACACATTGAATAGGCATTCAGGGATGTATCTGGACCTGCTTAGAGGACGAAATTACAATCAAAATAACCATTGACTTTTCCTAATTATTGTTGATGTAGTTCGGACTAATGTTAGGCTAAAAAAAAATATTCTTGGTTCTCAGGCACCTGTGCATCATCACAAAGCCACCCCAAGTTTCATCTTTAGTTCCATTTGAAAAAAAAAAATCCTTTAATATTCCACATCTCAAACTCAGGACCCCGACAGTAAAATGCTACATTACTTAAAAACAATACGATCCAATAAAGCGTGCAGTTACTTCCCTTTTCATGCGCACTGCTTTACTGCGCATCTCGTGTGTTATCATGGTCATGGCAGCAATAGGAGTTTGTGTGCTTGTTTTGCTGTTTGCAAATTTGGTCAATGAAATATAATTTACAAATTCAATGGTATTTGTGTACTGCATGTGGGACAATGTTTCATATGCAGAGGTTAAGATTTTATGTGTATTTGTCCCGTAAAATAAGCCGGAAATAGCAATCAGCTGTTTACACATTTTCTCCCCGATCCATAGGTGATTTTAGTTAAAAAATACTTAATGTCATGGCCAATATCATAACTGACAAAACGTTTTATAGGAATTGATACAAAGACCGAAGACTTTGCATCACTTATGACTAATGTTCGTTCCAAGGCGAGTTTATGGTGAGTTGATGTGGTTTGGGGATCAGATCAAACACAATCTAAATTTAATGTTATTTTAATGTGCCAAAATTAATGTAAACAAAATTGAATGAAATCTTCGAGACAAGTGTTATAACTGGTTACAAATGTAAGTCAAGATATGATCCCTCTGGTATATTGGAAATGTACCACGGAACAGCTATGGATCCCTCTGGTATATTGGAAATGTACCACGGAACAGCTATGGATCCCTCTGGTATATTGGGAATGTACCACGGAACAGCTATGGATCCCTCTGGTATATTGGAAATGTACCACGGAACAGCTATGGATCCCTCTGGTATATTGGGAATGTACCACGGAACAGCTATCCATCCCTCGGATATATTGGAAATGTACCACTGAACAGCTATTGATCCCTCTGGTGCATTGGGCTTGTACCACTAAACAGCTATCCATCCCTCGGATATTTTGGAAATGTACCACTGAACAGCTATGGGTCCCTCTGGTGTATTGGAAATGTACCACGGAACAGCTAAAGTAAAGAATTGTTTTCGTGAATATTGTTATAAAAACATGCTGTACATGGTATTTGGGATTGTTTTCTAAAACTTTTTGTATGCGCCCTTTCCGACCACGCGATCTCCAAGCAACCACGCCCAGAGCGTGCATCACAACATTTCTTGTCTTTTATATGAGCAACAAAGCATTTTCGTCTGACAATGAATTTGACAGAGGAGTTGTTTGAGATGATCAGGGGAGCCTTGGTCATTTCTGTACTGAACAGATAAAGAAACGTCGCAAGAATACAGAAAATAGTGAACTGTTTATTCAAATGTCAATAGTGCAAAACATAATTGTCAGAAAACAACCACCTTTGGCACAAAGGATTGTTTGAGTGTCAGTCATGTTATTGCAATGTCATATCGAGGGTCTGATCCCGTGATCCTCACAGATGGAGGCTGAAAGTCAGTATCTGGTGTGTCCACCTTGTGCGTTGATAACGCCTTGGCATCTTCTGTACATGGAGTGGCACAAACGGTTTACAGACGCCATTGGAATCTGCGCCCAGACCCTGAGGAATGCTGCACCGAGTTCTGCTGCATTTCTTGGATGCGGTTGGATCTGGTTTAGTCGTCTTTGAATGTCATCCCACAAGTGTTCAATTGGGTTTAAGTCCGGGCTGAGTGAAGGCCATGGCATTACTCTGATGTTATGCTGTTGGAGGAAGGTCCTAGTGGCTATGGCAGTGTGTGGATGGGCGTTGTCATGCTGGAAGGTGTGGTTTCGGAGTCCTGCAAAATGAGGTACAACGTGGGGTCGGAGAACCTGGTCGATGTAACGGGCGGCTGTGACTCCATGGCCCCCGCCTGGGCCAATATTCTGGAAGACAACAGGTCCAAGTTTGTGATTGATGCCGATTGCACCCCATACCATAATGCTTGGTCCTCCCCACGGGTCTCTTTCAACCACACACTGTTCTGTAAAACATTCACCTCTACTTCGTCACACTAGTACTCTGCCATCTGCGGTGGAAAAGCAGTACCGACTCTCATCTGAGAACACGTGGGTCCTCCACTGCTGATGCCGCCAATGTTGTCCTTCGGTGGCCCACGCAAGACGTTGCTGACGATATTGAGGAGTGAGCACTGGACCCCTGTGTGGACGGCGACAAGACAGGTTCTGGGAGGCAAGCCGATTTCGAACAGTGTCAGCACTGATGGGTCGCTGGCGGTTGCCAATGGTCTGACGAGCTGTCTGTGCCGCTGTGGTGAATCTGTCCTGCAGATGTTGACGCAGGATGAAGCGATCTTGTCTTGGTGTTGTGACTTGGCGATGACCACTGCGTGGACGGTCATTAGTGCTGTTGGTGGTGTTGTAACGAATCCGAAGTCTTTCAATGGTTCGTACACTGCAGTTAAAAGCATTGGCAATGACTTGGGTACGTTGCCCGGCATTAAATCGTCCGATGGCTTGACCACGTTGTTGGGAGGATAGTCGTGGCATGGTCGCTGTCTTCAGAAAGCAACTGAATTCTCAGTAGGTGTCAGGTGGTTCTTATACAGAACCCTGGCATATGTTTCACGTGCATTTCAATTTTCCTGTGCATCACTTACAACTTGCTCCCAAGGTTCACAACGGTTACACCGAACGCAACCGGTATTATCAGTTGAATGTCATAAACTGGCTTTTTTTAAAGTCTAAAAAACATATTCATGAAGAAAAATTACAATTTTGACCATGCACAATTATGTCCTAATAATCCAAAAATCAACGTTTCTTTATCTGTTCAGTATATTAGGACATTGATAACTTTATCTTGGAGAAAGTTCCAATTCAAGATGACGTTGAACTTGAATCGACGAGATTCTTCCCACCCATGCAAGTACAACAGAAACTTTGAATAATTCAGTGCCGATTCTTGAGATTAGTGGATCAGTGTCACATTCAGATTTCATTGTGGAACCAGATGAAGGCGAAGATGTCTGTTCACACTTCTTTGTCAACCATGTGTGACACAGCACAGGTAATTGTTGTTAGGGAATGATGTCCCACCAAGTTGCAGAAAGCCATTGATTCGAAAACACTTCAAATACTTCTAGACTGAGCTGAATAGACATAGGGTTTGGAGAGATCTTCTTGGACTTGAAGAAACGGATATTAGACCTAGGAGCAGATGAAGGATTGGTGTGGACAAAATGGGGAGTGATGCCAGATTGTGTTTTTAATTTTGTGTCCAAATCAAATGAACAAAAAATACATTCGACACATGTCGATCTAATGATAAAACTCAGTTTTGTGTGTGAAATTATGTGAAAGCAAAGGAAATCCTTTATTAAAATTGTCTTGGAATATGGGTGTTTTCATGTATCAATGTTATCTAGACAAGCATAATGTAGGTAAAAACATCTATTTTTATTTATCTACTTATTTATCAGTTGGTTTTGTGCATTATGTTGATACATGTGACATATATTGTTGTCAAGGTAAAACATATTGGCGCAACTTCTGGTGTTTCAAATTAGGTCTCTTCCAAAACACTAGTTGAAACTGATAATTGAAGTTTTTAAAATATAATTTGGTTATTGTTTGGTATAACTGTTGAATGATAGTGACCAAAACTAAACAAATAGAGTACCCATATATCTATGTCATTTTTGGATTGAACTGAAAGAATCTTGTTGCTAATACTTATGTAACTAATGTCAGTTTCGTATTTATGTATTGTTACTGTTACTTTTACCGAAATTGTTGTTGTGCTTCTGTTTGCCCATAAATAGATACAGCACAATACAATTTGCATCGTATGTGTCACATGTACACCATGTGCTTTGCTATTTATATTCCAACCCTAAATAAGCTCTGCCCAGTGTGATTGAGGCAGACCCTTAAACATGACGAATTGCATTTTTTATGATAAAACTACAGAACATTTATTGATGTTTATCTAGATGGAGGCATTTGTGGTATCCAAGGTATGTCATTGAAGTTAATACGAAGTTTGACGGTCTTTGGTGATCTTGTTTACATACTTTTTTCAAAAAATTACTCTCGACACTTGGTTGTGTTTACATTGTGAGTCACCTTGTGGGCTATTTCTAGTCAGGACGCATCTTTTAGTGCATGGGGATGGTGTAAAGGAGCAGGAAGTTAGTGCTCAAGTGGTACTAATGTGTAATTATCACTGTCCTGCTGGATATGTGACAATGATGCAGTTCTTCTGATAATATATATGTTTCCTACTATACCTCTATTTTACATTTATGTTAACAAAAAAGTTAAAGTTGATATATTGGTGTTTTGATTGATATTTTGATGACTACTGGTATATTTCAGGTGAAGTTGGTGACTGGAAACACTGGTTCACTGGTGCCAGGAACAAGGAGTTTGAGGACTTCATCAACACCAAGCTGCAAGGAAGTCATTTCTCTGCTCTAGTTTCCCCTGACAGATATCCATGGTTAAGGACAACAAAGTTTGGTCATCTTTAAACACTCAGGATCACACTTCTTCAATTTCTACAGTAAATTTTGCAAAAAGTTTAGCTCTATTACTGAAATTCTACAAAAGGTTTTGCAAGGATCAAGATTCCCGTATCTAAACACGGGAACTTTTTGGATAGAAATAGGTTTGTGTTTCTGTGCTTTTAGTGCAGTGTTTACCCATCTCTAACTGTAAATGCAAGGCCTAAAAAAGGCCCTAATTTGGTGACATAAACTCTGTATGAGCAATGAATTAAACACAGGGCCTACTGAATTTAATGAACTGCTAAAATCAAGCAGATCAGGGTGTCAGAAGATAAAAGACTTTGAAAGGAAATATATGCAATGTGACAGGAAGTGAGATCTTGCAAAACGTTATGTGCATGAAATCGGACAAGACATTATTACAAATATGGAATAGCTTCGTATCATTAGGATAGATGCTTTACATGATGAATAAGAAGCGATGGAAAGCTACTTCATACCTTGGAGGTATGTATTGAAATGTATTGAAAGAATGGTTAACTGACAAGAGTTTGTGATTGTCCAAATAAAGCAGATAAAGACTCTAAAGTATTAGAGACACTTGACACTGCTGGAGAAGCCACTAAAACAACATGGCCTGAATACAAGAGATAGGTGGAGCCAATGACCTGACTGCCACCAGAGACATTTAGCAGAGAGCGCTGGTGCCAGATAGTATTACAAAGGCGGTAATCTTAGGGATGCCCCGAGGGATGAGAGGCACCCAGAAGCCAGTACTACGTCATCTTAGGCTTTTAGGAACAGTGATGCTGCTGGAAAAGACGATGAGACACACATTGGAACAACATAGAACATCAACCATTAAAAACGTCCTGGCCACTCCAGCAGGGGACAGTCCAGGTAGTGTTGTGACCAGGGCCAAGATTTTCACCACGATGAACTGAATAAATTTTACGAACTTTCTATCATGGAACATTTCTGGTATAACACATAAATTGTCAGAATCTGACTTTATTATCTATACTAGCCACATAAAGAAACTATGCACGGAGAAAATATATTCTGGATTGAAATTCAACACGGCAAGAACAAAATGATGCAGACACTGTAGCAGCTGAATGATAGGACCATAAGAAAATGTCAATGGGACCTGAACAACATCTGTTACGATGACGTCAGAAGATCAAAATGGAGTAGGGGGTCAAAAGACAAAGTCACAAAGTCAATAACGGGTATGACCACCCTGTGCGTGAATCACAGCAGTGCATCGGCGACGCATGGAGTCCACCAAATGGGCATGGAAGGCCTGGGGAATTGCCTGCCATATCCTCCTCAAATCCTGTGCCAAGTCACGGACGTTATCTGGAGGATGTGGAAGACGACGCAGACGGCGCTCCATTTCATCCCATACATGCTCTATTGGGGAGAGATCTGGAGAAATTGCAGGCCATGGCAGTAACATGACATTGTTATGGTGAAGGAAATCCATTGCGACCCTAGCTGTGTGAGGACGAGCGTTGTCCTGTTAAAATGTCAATCCCGGGCCATGACGTTGCAGGAAAGGAATGACCACAGGCCTCAGAATCTGATCTCTGTAGCCAACACTGGTGAGATTGCCCTGAACAACCATCAAAGGGGTTCGGTGCCGTGCTGTTATCCCACCCCAAATCCTCACAGAGCCACCTCCAAAACGATTCCTCTCCACAATACAGTTGCGTGCATAACGTTCTCCCAAACGCCGGTAGACACGTTGGCGCCCGTCACTGTGGGAAATGTTGAACCTCGATTCATCTGTAAAGACAACATTTCTCCACCATATTCGAGGTTGGCGAACATGATTTCGACACCATCTTAGACGGTTGACTCGATGACGGTGTGTCGGGATGGGATGTATGGCAGGGCGTCGTGGTCGAATCTCGTACTGACGTAGACGATTCCTGACAGTTTTGGGATGGATACGGCGCAGTCCAGGAATTGTCTGGGATGTCGTTACTGCCGTTTGGAATCTGTGTCGGAGATGTGTCACTCGAATCCATCTGTCCTGTCTTGGCGTCGTTACTCGGGGACGTCCTGAACGTGGGTAGTCTGCAACGTCATTTGTGTTCTGATAACGCCTCACCAATACAGATATCGTGTTATGATGGCATTGGAAATGTGTTGCCACCTGTTGTTGCCTCATTCCCGCTCGGATCATTCCAATGGCTTCATGATGCTGTGCAGCTGTCAATCTTGGCATGATTTGCTTGTGATATGCTTGTGTCTGCGCCTGAGAAGTTTTGAATTTTTGAATGACCACAGATCATGTTTTCCAAAGTGACAGCGAATTTTGAGTTGCACATGCTGTGTACAGCTGCACAGGATGCATGTGCAGTAACACATTGCACGTCCATAGGCCCCCATCAATGACGTCATATCGCATGGCACGTGCATGAGCGTTTGAATGTCTCCAATAATTGTTGTGTTCAAACCTATATTTCATATATGGACGGTGTGCCCTTATATCTATATTTTCTCTGTGCACAGTTTCTTTATGTGGCTAGTATACATTAAGAGTTCTGATACAGCTGGGATTACTGGAAGTTGGGTTAACAATGCTGACTTCAGACACCTGTTCAGTGACTACCCAGTAAACCAGCAGAGAAGATATCACATACAGGTCGACTTGCAGCTGGCATTTTAATATTTGTAAAGCGAGAACTTCTCATAATATTCATGTGTCTACATCCATCCTGAAGGATCATGTTTGTTCAATAACACAATGTTACAGAATATGTGGTAGACTTTAATTGTTGGGGATTTTACTTAGATTTATGAATATGTTTAAAACAATTTTTATCTGAATTGTTTAAAAAAATCTGTTGTGTTTTTTGCGAATTAGAGAAAAGCGAATATACATGTGTATTACAGAAGCTTTATGTACTGCTTCAACTGGTGTGATGAAGATAGAAGGGGATAGTCATGGTGCATGGTGTCATGATGTCATGGTCATGTTACAGATGCTAACAAATCATCTCAGAACATTGTGCATAATGTATGTCGTTTTAAGGTTGGTTTTGTTCATGTTAGACTTTATGATATATTCAAAAAATATTATGTATGCATTTCTTTAAAAAATCTGTGAATATATATATGATTTCGTAACGTCACTGAAGATTTTAAAATATCACTCAAGACGGCGTCATAGTTAGTTAAGCACCCTGAGGATCCCAACTATTTTCGCCATATTGGCTGAAGCAGTGCATGAAGACCCAGTAATACATATGTATATTGTAGTTGTTTTCTTAAAGGGTGTAAATAAGCAAGGAATGAAAACTGGTTTTGTAAAGGGGACAGTTTAGAAATAACAACATGTTATAACTATTTGGATGTATATCACACAGCCGTCTTGGAGTATCAATCTACACAAGCCTCCACCAAATCAAAACAGATATAAGAAGAAACATATTTATAACATACATACGTCCTTGGTGAAGAAGACTATAAAGCATTCTTTATTAAATATTTGATATGAAAATAAATCCAACAGTATTATATGGGGCAGAAGTATCTGGTTCATACAAATTTGTGGTATAAGAAAAGGTACATTTCTATGCTTGTAAAAGGTACTCTGGTAACTGTTAAGACAAATACACCAAATGCTAGGGTATATGGTGAATGTGGCAGCTATCTTATGTACATCTATTCTTATGTTAAGATTATAAAATATTTATTACGAATATTGAATATGTCCCCAAAGAGGAATCCAAAGTTTTGTTATACATTTAGTATGTTTGTGTAAAATTTAAATGGAATAAGTAATTGGGTTACAAATGTTGTAGGCAACTATGCTTGTTGTAAGAGCCGACTAACGGGATTGGGTGGTCAGGCTGACTGACTTGGTTGATGCATGTCGTCGTGTCCCAATTGCATGGATCGATGCTCATGATGTCAATCACTGGATTGTCTCGTCCAGACTCGATTATTTACACACCGCCGTCATATAGCTAGAATATTGCTGAGTGCGGTTTTAAACAACAAACAAACAAACAAATGTTGTGTATACAAATGTAAGACAACCGTTGTTAAAATGTGGTTATGGCTAGATGTAGTGTCAGTCTTATGTTAATCCAATAAATTTCCATTTTGTAAAATGTTAAAACACATATTTATGCAGAGCAGTATAGGTTTGATATTAATGTTAAAATATTTGGACATGCTATATCAGAATTTAGATGTTCCTTACTTTTTAACTGAAGTTAGACCATGCACTGATGTGGAAGGAATATGTACACTGTAACCTTCATAGCTGAAGATGAGTTTTATTTTCTGCTTACCAGGTATGTGTATTTACTATTTTCAGATTAACATCAAGTATATATCATCTAAATACATTTTACATCCAAGTGTATGTAAATTTGAGTCTTGGTTATTTAAAGAAACCTATCCATGTATACAGCGAAACAGTAATTGTGCTTCATATAAAGTTCAATAAAAATCATATTTACTCTGAAATTCAATAATGCATCCGTTGAAGACATATTCATGAAGACATCTCCTCGACTTTAGGTCGTGATTGACAATTTGCTTGTTCATGCATGGTGCACAATTCGGATGTTTGTATGTTTGTTGGGAGCATGGTACTCACTGACTAGTTGTTGTAAATTTGTACAGCACACAATGATTGTTAAGCTTTCAGGTGCTCATAAAAACACGAGGCAGTCGGGTAGCCTAGTCGTTAAAGCGTTCACTCGTCACGCCAAAGACCCAGGTTCGATTCCCGACATGGGTACAATGTGTGAAGCTCATTTCTGGTGTCTCCAGTCATGATATTGCTGGAATATTGCTAAAAGCGACGTAAAACCATACTCACTCACTCAGTCACTTATAAAAACACATGCATTTAACTGTTAATCAACGTCCTCACACCATGTGTATGCTGGGAAAAAGGGATGTCGCAAAATGAAGTTGCCAGATGTTTCAGTCTTCATCAGAACAGCTCAGACAATTCATGGATTGAGACCAATTAGTGGCAGAAAGATCTGTAACCCGTTGAGACAGAACAGAACAGAACTAGAGGCAATGTGTAGGCTCCATGATTACGACCTGAAGATGGTGGTACAAGTAGTGTGGCTGGTGCTGTATCCCTACACCAGGAGAGGTTCTATGGGGTAGTGATGTGGTTACAATATAGTCCATATTTTACATCCCCTTTGTTTTGTTAAGAAGTTTCAGGGACTGAAGGTTGCTTGTTGAGAAGTGCCATGTCTATCCTGACATCCAGTTGATTTGTTGTGCGGGTCTTGCCAGGTGGTCAAAGACCCAGGTGATCATGAGAGGTCATCTGCTACTAGCATCATGTTGCCAGGTCTAGACTTGATTGTCAAGTTGTAAGGTTGTATGTGCAGTAGCATCTGGGTCTGGGTGTACAATTGTTTGTTTTGTTTGTCTTGATTTCACACTTTACAGAGTTAAATGTAAGCTCATTCTCTCTTGCAACATTCACCAGGTTTCTGAAGTTGCTGTTATGTTCTCCCCCAGTTATTCCAAATACTATTGTGCCAGGGCACTGTTCAAGGGTTTGGTCCAGACTTGGTTGGAATACATTTTGGCTAAGGCTAGGTCAAAATGGGAGCCTTAGAAACTGATATCAACCAAATGGGTTGTTAAAGGTCGTTATGATACGTCATTCTTCTATCATGATATAACATTTGTACAAAGTTTTCCTATAACAATTAGATCCACAACAAGTTTTTTTTTAATAAATTATCATGGTGTAACATTTATACAAAATTTCATATAATCATAGAATAGCAAGTAATACATATTAATCAAGGTAAAATGCAGATATAAAATAGTTTTATTTTATTATTGTTTTAAATTTTAGTTAAATAGATGGAGGAGCAGACCTCTCTCTCAGAGAGAGAGAGAGAGCGAGAGAGAGAGAGAAACTGTATACATCGTCTCCAAGTTGTCACTTCCTACCGAGCACGATACGCCGACCCCTTTCATATACGAGTATGCTAATCGTTCATTAGCAATGTCACCACTTATACTCACAGAGTGCATTGATGCCCACTCCAAGTGGTGTTTTAAGTGAACTCAACATCAACAGTCACTACAGAATATCTGGACAGATTGTTGCTACTCGTGGATTGCT